CTGTCCAGGTAGCAAGAAGTCTCTGTCAATTCTAGAGTTCATATATTATCCTTCTGTGGTCTTTGATAGAGTTGAAGACAGATAGTTATGGTTATAGTTTTCTTCAGTTATTATAAAAGATAAGTTATCCTTTTTATTTAGACAGAAAAGAGGAGATGATGGGGGAAGTACTTCTGTGTATGTTTATCTTTTTCATTGCTAAATAAAATACTGTTTGGCCAATGAGACAGCAAGTAGATGGGATTAGGAGTCAAAGAGGATTCTGGGAAATGTAGCAGAGAAGTGCTGATCCAGGCAGGAAGTGACATAGCAAGGAGACTCATATTTAAGCGAAGGAGAAACAGGAAGTGTCCCTTTTTCCCCTCCGCTCCTGCTCCAGTAGCAAGATGTGATCCCAGCAAGGAGGGACGCCAATAAGGTGTCCGATAAGATAAATATTTAGGTTTATTATAGTTAAGACTGAGTTAGCAGATGAGAACTCCTAGTCATTGGCCAAGCAGCTTTGAACCAAAAAACAAACAAACAAACAAACAAAACAAAAAACAAAAACCAAAAAAACCTCCACGCCTAAGAAGTCCTATATAAACCCCCGGGCATATTCAATGTGCTGCCGTCTTCTTCCACCATGGCAGAGGCAGCCATTCTCCTGGATTCTTCCCTCCCAATAAGTCTCTTGGATGAGGTTTGGGTGAGACATTCCTTCACCAGAATGGAACAGAGGAGAGTAACATTTCACTGGAACCAGAGCTGGAGGAGGGCTGTAACACTTTCACTGGAGAAACCTTCCCCTAGCAGAGTAGAGTTGTTACACTCCTGGGGACCTGAGCAGAACTGTAATAGCTTCACTGGGGAAGTCTTCCACTATGGGAGCAGAGTTCTAACATTGGGGAATCATTTCCCTGGAGCTGAGGAAACCCTCTTCTGCCAGAGTAGAGCTGATACACTGGGGAAGCCTTTCCCTGAAGCAGGGCTGTAAGCTGCTACATTTACTGTGACCTCTGGTATTCCTTGGCTTCCGATTTTCAGAATACTTTTCCATCTGAGCTGTAACACTCAGTATTCTTTGGCTCCTGAGTGCCAGAATGCCTTTCCATCTGAGATGCAATGCTTACAACACAAGCGTCCCACTTTGCTCAGAATAAAAGTCAAAATGTCTAAAATTATCTACACTGTGCCTCATGGTCTAGACTTTACTTCTCTGATGCTTTTCTCTCCTGCCTGCTAGTATCCCTCTGACCTTCACATGGTCTATCAGCTATGTCAGGATAAGCCCAGGCTCAAAGCCTGCTTTAGAGTTTCTGTTGTTGTGAAGAGACACCATGATCAGGACAGCGCTTACAAAGAAAACAGTTAATTGTTGTGGCTGGCTTACAGTTTCAGTGATTCAGTCCATTATCATCATGGTGGGACAGGGCAGTGTGCAGGCCAACATAGTTCATCTGAAGAGGTAGCTGAGAGTTCTGTATCTTGCAGAGGCAACAAGAAGTGGTCTGCCACTCTGGGCTGT